AGAGAAGTCGACCTTCAGCATAGAGGTGACTCCAGAGGCCGACTGTGACAGCAACCTTCTCAGACCCAGAACAAACCTCAAGATCAAATCCCTGTAAGATCAAAATTATAGCTAATCCATATTTTAATAACTAATTTCATTTGTCTCCATTTGTGACTGAATTTACTCTCCTTTATAGTTACAATGGGGAACAGGATAGCACCAACATGGCCATCATTGATATTAAATTGCTCTCTGGATTCACTGTAGATTCTGAGTCTCTAGACGCGGTAAGTTATTGTACAAAATAAATATTAGATCATATTTTTTTTATGTGAGGTATTCATTTCACACTTGTCCTGATCTGGTCCCAGTTTAGTCCTGTTATAGACCTAGTCCTACTCTAGCCCATACAGTTGGTCCTGGTTTAGTCACAATATAGTTTTGTTAAGATATAGACTAATATAGGTTAAGTTAGTAGTTGTGGTTAGAATCTTCAGGAAATTAATATTAAATCAATGTACTATCAGTTGTAGTTGTCAATGTAGTTCAAGATATTGAGAATTTGAGGTTTTGTAGTTGATCATTTTATACTTGTTTTGCCCATGTTATATGATAATCTGGTTTAGACTAGTTAGTCCTAGTTTATACCTGTTTTAGCGAACTTGCACAACCTGTACATCATAATTGGGACTTAACTAGCTCTGAAGCAGGACTAGAACAGGATCAAACCAAGTTTTTCTCAGGACTAAACTGTGCTCAAACCAGGATCAAAACTGGGTTAAAAGTGTGAACTGAACCTCCTCAGGCTAGACCTGTTTAGATCCTTCTTACAGCTTTCTGGTTTTGAATCTCAGTTTAAGTCTTAGCTAGTCAGATTTTTCCATTAAAAACCCTATATACTTTTGTAACATCTTTTACTTTTTTACTTTTTCAGCTGAAAAGGGACACATTAGTGCAGCGAGTTGAGCAGGACCAAGATAAAATTTTGGTCTATCTGACTGGGGTAAGTAAAAGTGTCTGTATATATATATATAATATAAAATGTAATAATTTGTGTGTTTTTCCTACAAAAGCTTCCGAAAGGCGTTCCCATTAATCATGAATTGGTGCTGATACGAGAAATAAGAGTACGCAACCTGAAGCCCGCTGTGGTTATACTTTACGACTACTACCAGCCAAGTACGTCAGATGGATTTCTATATTATTTTCCATATTTTATGTAAATTAGTAGCACTTAAGATAATTTAGATAGTTTGAAATGAAGCTAAAATGCTATTTTACTCAAATTTCAGGTGACAAAGACGAGACTGAGTATAGTTTCCCCTGTGCTTGAGGTAAGACGTAAAAAAAAGATCTTAAATCTCAACAAATCTAAGAACATTTTTTGGTGATTATTTAAACATATGACTATAATTGTTACTTCTCTTCTAGTTTGAAGAACAAAGATTCACCATCCTTTGAGTGTCTGAACTCTAAATTGAAAGTGCCTTTCAATTAAACATGTCATATACTGGTGTTACTATGGAAACAATGTTACTCTTGATGCAATTTTTTTTATAATTTGTGGAAGAAGGTGTTTGTGAACAATAAACTAGTCCTCTAAGGGTGCCTGTTGTCTTGTAATTGTTGTTTATTGTGGTTAATAAAATGTTTATACTATTCCATTGAGTTAACACATATCACAATATGATGTAAACAACACATAATACAAGTAGGCTACACCATACAGATGCACTATAGTGGGAGTATGGTAGAAAAGACAAGTGCCTTGTGATTTGAATGAATGAATTAAAGTATTAATAAAATGGCTTCTTTTCACAGATGCAATGCAAAGCTGATCAATTCTTAAATTTATTAAATGTTTAAAGTAGTGGCAGTTTACATTTTAAAACAGATGCCACCTAAGGCAGTATATTAATTGTTGCACTAGATGGCGCTATATTCCTATTTTCTTTTCTATTCGATGCACAATGATTGACATCTCTTAACTTTAAACTGAGTCATCAAAAAAATCTAAATTTCCAATCTGAGGGATTGCATTGCATAACACGTACATTTTAATATATTTTTTTATATATTTTTATTTTATCTATATCTATCTATCTATATATATATATATATATATCTATATCTATCTATCTATCTATCTATCTATCTATCTATCTATCTATCTATCTATCTATCTATCTCTCTCTCTCTCTCTCTCTCTCTCTCTCTCTCTCTCTCTCTCTCTCTCTCTCTCTCTCTCTCTCTCTCTCTCTCTCTCTCTCTCTCTATATATATATATATATATATATATATATATAAAAAACACATACATATTTGGACAGAAAGAGTAATTTCTTCATAAAACTTTTTTTTCTGACTGATGTCACAGTATTTATTAAATAAATAAAAACAATTCAACTTCCGCTACTATTATACGTCACTTCCTGGATGTGAGAAACCAAAATGACAGCTGATTTGTTTTCTTCAACAAGAAGAAAATAAAGTCGATATTTAAGGTGTGTATGTGGACAGCAGTGGATGCTACATGTATCGGGCGTTTCCAATATTTATCGTAGAGTTATCTGCATTAATAGGGCATTTATTTGGCTGTTTTGAGTAATGATAGTCGTTGTGTCTCCAGATGATGTTATGTCAGATTTACTGATGCTGGAAAAGGCTCGGACCACTGGCAGGTTATCTTTACAAAAACAACCACTGTAGAGATTTTACTTACTTTTGTATTAAATTTTGATTGTCTGGTCGTAATAAATTATCCTTTTTAGTGTAACGATTGTAGCTCTCGATGTGGTAATGTTTATGTGTCTTAATCAGTTGTTCTTTGTATTAAATAGCCAATCAAGGTGACTTGTTAGAGACAGTCCGCCGTGCAGATTAAGAAATTTATATAAAACAAACATGTATTTTCTATTTTACTTCTTTTTCTTTGACAAAACACTTGGTTGTACTTTTTGTTCCTTTTACAAATTGTAGTGAATTTCATTTACTTCCTAGTTATTAATTTTTAATAATACAAATTGTATCACCGCATTATTGGCAATAATATTCTTGACTGCCGCAATGGGGTTAAAGTTATTTTTACTGATTGTTTTATTTGCTGTACTGTAATAGAATTCTTTGTTTGTGAAACAGTTGTGTACATGAGAATATCAGCTTTGAGTATTCTGTTGTATTTTATTAAATTAAACTGCAATCACCTTCACCTGACACTATTAATATAATACATAATTTCTTGTTTTTGCAGTGTGCCCTCACTTGCCCTTTGTGCTGGTGTTGAATAACTGTGCCATCAGCAGTAATGTCATTGATAACTGTTGTATAGGTCAAATCACTTATCATATAGCTTTTAAAGTGGCAGTTACCTGATTAATACATTGCCAGTCAAAACTATGATTGCCAGCCTGTCACAATACTTACTAAATTGACATTTTGCTCAGTAAATCATAAATGGAACAATCATTTTTGGGGGTCATTGTTATATTTTTTCTTAGTACTCATGGGAACTTTAAAAAAAAATCTGTACTACCATAAGATTTGAGCTAAAAACATGGGATAAATAATTTTATGACTCTAACTAAGTTCTTAATTGTTTTATTCTGCTATTTTTTATTTATTTATTGCAACTTTTAGTACTTTTAGTAGCATAAATTAGCTTAAATATAATAACTAAATCTAAAATTTCTTCCACAATATATCACACGTCAACATTTGTTATTGTGACAGGCCAGCCTAAATGGTAACTAACTATGTGAGCAAATAGACCTGTCATGTTACAAAATTTTAAAGTGCTGAAGAAAATATCATAGTAAATAAATACAAAATAAGTACAAATAAAAAGTACCCATGATAAATATAGATCCCCCAAAATAAAACAGTTGTTCCATCTATCATATATTGAATGATAAATCGATACAGTAATTATTGTGACAGGCTTATACAGAAACTAAAATACAGCCTACCACAGTGACCTGATTCACAGAACCAGGCCATTTTATATTGATTTTAATAAATGATTAACTAAACTTTGTTTATGATCACAGTTTCATGTTCTGGTTCAAGCTAAAGTTTAACTCCATTTTCTCTTGTCTTGTTTAGCACGGAGGGTCACCTGCCAATCTGGAGCAAGTAAGTGTGAAAACTGATTGTACAGATTTGAAACTGAATAAACCATGCAACCTTTTCATTTCAGGCCCCGTTTGAAAAGAAACAAGATACATTAAGTGGTCACTGTGGTTAAAGAACGGTCTCTTTAGGTAAGGCACTTGTTTCCATCAATACAATACACATTTGCTGCTTATAGACACATCTTAGTATACTGTTAGTTGCTTTTTATGTTATAGGACGTATAGCTTTTTTATACTATCTATATCTATAGCTGCCCATTCTCATTTCCTAGTAGTGCATTGTTAAAGGTCCTATATTATACAAAGTTGACTCTTGTGAGCTTTTAGTCATGTTATAATGTTGTTACTCCAACAAAAACATACATGGAGTTATGTTTTGTTTCATTTACACATATTTGAGTAATCATTTATTATTAGTTTGTCATCACCCAAGCTCAAAATGCTCTCTACCTTGTGATGTTATGAAGCAGTTTTCAAGGTAACAGCTTCCTTTTACCTTTTGTTTAGTGGAGATTCCAGGACTGAAATGATCAAAATCATTCTGGTGAAGGTGTATGGAGTTTTAAAACACAGTGGAGCACTTCCTGTATTACCACATGACATCACAAGGTGTAACAGAATGTTTTCTGTTTGAAAAAAAGAACTCACAAAACAATGATGAAACAAAACACAACTCCAGGTATGTTTTTACTGAGGGAACAGCATTATAACATAGAACAGAAAATGGCTTAATATGGGCTCTGTAAATGTCTTTTACAAATCAATGCTACTGCCTTTAACAGGGAATGGTAACATTGTAATAGTAACTACTTATTAAAGCATGAACAAAGACTTAATTCATATGAACAAATTGTTTATTTAGAATGATCCAGACTTACCTTCCTAACCTGTTATTATAAAGTAGTACTACTACTACTAGTCTAATAACATCTTAAAAATTAGCAGGGAGTAGAATTTGTTGGGTTTATTGTTTTGTACTCTTAAATGCAGAGCTTCGGGGCAGAGCCATGGAGTCACTTGAAGACACAGATGGCCGCTCTTTTGTGGAGGTGATCATTGAAAAGTACAGCCCTGAGAACTTTCCTTATCGCAGGGGTCCTGGGATGGGAGTGGTCATGATAACCACACCTCAAGGCTCTCCCATGAAAGGTGAATAACCAGTTGCCCAGTGTTTAAAGTTGCACTATAATTGCTGCTATTAGGCTGCTCATTTTGGTCTTAAAATGTTCGTATTAGCCTGCTCTCCATGATCTTGGAGTTTTTACTAGCTATTTTGACTGTAACTCAAGATATGAACATAAATAACAGACAAATCAGGTGCCTTCTTTCTCCAAGGTCTCTCCCTAGCATTAGCAAAAGGTTTGACTGACAGCATTGCTAAGTGCCCTTCCCCAGCATGCTGCAGGCCATTACCTTCAACAGACTTGCTCCAGATTGGCTATTTGGTTGCTATAATACTCACAGACGGAATTCCAAATATGGAACTCAGCTCCAAATTTGCCTCTATAACTGCTAGCCACAAGAAGATTCATTTGACTGGAGACATACTCTGTGGGGGGGGCTTCACACTTTCTTTATACAGTTTATGTAACACAATAACATTTGCATGGAGACAAGCAGGTGGTTGGCTTCCAGAGAAGTTCAATAGTGTACCATTCATTTTAAAAGATCTCTTGTCTGTTTTCAAGAAAATATTTGTTATTTTATGATTCTGCAGACCGCCTTAACTTGCCAAGTGTGCTGGTGCTGAACGGCTGTGGCATCAGTCGAGCCGGAGACCAAACCGAGATTGCTGCTTTCTGCGCTCATGTGATGGAGCTGGACCTGTCTCACAATAATCTGCAGGACTGGCATGAGGTGCTCCCATGGGAATAAAGTACAATGACCAAAATTAATTTGTTTGTCTAGTTTGAAAATATTAGAGCTGCACAATGTAATGTACTCCAATCACAATTTGAGTTGTCACAATTATCAAATAGATTGTGCACTGCAAACAACAAACTATCCTTTTATAATCTAGAAAAATCTTGTTGTACCTGTATTTTAGACCTCTACAAATATGTTCTAAAATTCATGGAATTTTAGTATTAGTATTAATTTCAGTCAAATGTTAATTCCTTGTTTAATATAAGCATTCGCAAAAACTTATCAGAAAGATCACAATTCTGTATTTTATTTTTCCAAATTGTTTAGCTATAAGATATAATCAAAGCTGTAATAAAGAATTTAGAATAATAATATCACCATTTGTCCTTTTTAGATCAGTAAAATAGTATCCAACATCCCCAACCTGGACTTCCTGAACTTGAGCTCCAACCCTTTGGCGGGAGTCCCTCTGGACCCTCAGTGCGTCGAGGCCTTCGCGGGTGTCCGGCGACTCGTGCTCAATAACACCCGGGTCTCTTGGGACACTGTGCTGCAGCTCACGCAGGAGCTGCCTGAGTAAGATTTGCAAATTTTATAAAAAATTAAATAAAATTTGATTTGATAAAAAAATTCACATTTAAGAGATATTAGATAACTACAATTCAACTTTGATCAACTTTTAAATTAAGTAACTTTTTTAACCTGAAATTTGAAAGTGAATTGATAAGATGACTGACCAGCCAGTTTAGTATAGACCAGTGTACAATATAAATAAAAAGTAGTGGTACAAGTAGTACTTTGTAGTAGTACTATTACTTTCTGTTAACCTGGCGATCCTACTTTTTGTTCAGGTATAGGAAAAGTGTCTAGTTTTGGCTGGCCAGGCAAACATTTTATATGTATTCACAAATAACAGTACTTTTTACACTTGATTGCTTGAGATTGACCAATTCAAATGATCTCCTCTGGGACAATTGGGGTCTTTCTTGGATGGAGTATATTATACAGCACTGTAATTGTTCTTTAAATGTGTTTGCCCCTTTAGGAAATAGATTTTGGGTTGACCTTTACCCTCTCTCCCCTTTCATACTTCTGTAGCTTGGAAGAGTTGTTCCTGTGCCTTAACGAGTACAGCCGTGTGCATGCCCCCCGTGTCCCCTGCCCCTCCCTGCGCCTGCTCCACATCACCGATAACAGCCTCCATGACTGGGCCGAGGTCCGAAAGATTGGCTCCATGTTCCCCAGCCTGGACACGCTGGTCATGGCCAACAACAATTTAGCCTCAATTCAGGACAACAAAGAGATTCTCCAACGGCTTTTCCCAAATTTACGCAGCATCAACCTGCACAACTCAGGTCAGAAACATATTTATTTAGTAATGTGAGTGTAAATAAATAAATAGAAAGAAAGATTTTTATTTTTTTAAAGTCTGCAAAATGTCCACAGAGATGCATTTGCCAAAACTATATTAAAAAGGTAACCAAAAGAGTTGTGGAAAAACCTGACCAAAATCTCCACTGGTTTAACAATAGGCTAGCTGAAAATTCTCTAATATGTGACCATACAATCCTTAATTCTATCATGAACATGTTCAAGGTCCATGGAGATGTTGTTGTTTTGTCTGTTAAGTTCCAAAGCCATAACACTTAGCAATCTCCATGGAGACAAGCACCTAACTCCATCAAACAAAATTTTTCTTGGTAGTAATTATTCCTAGAAGTAAATGTATGAGAAACTGAAATGAAGTTTATACCATACTGTGGAACATTCTTGGCAAGGAAAGCAGTTCATGAGACAGGTGACGGGCTTTTCAAGATTTTAAATCCTTGAATTACAAGGATTCAAATGCCAAACCAGTGGTTTGTTTTACTCCCCTGGTTAAGTAAATGGAAAATGGAGGATTATTTTTGGAAGGAACTACAAAAGTATCAATTTATGCAAAACACTCTACATCTGTATAAGGCAGATGAAGTGACTCTGAAAGGTTTAATTAGAGCATATGATCTTTCCTGATTAAAATAAAATAGAAGGAATTTCACAAAATAAAATAAACACATTATATATTGCATGTATTTATATACTGGAGGTAGAGTATAGACTTTTTTTCTTTTTATGTCTATTATGTAACTCTTTAATTTATAAAAACATGAGAGTTGCTCAGTCTTATTTTAAGTGATTGAAAAAAGTTATGACTCTGTTAGCAATTTGGACACTCTGCTATTTTAGTCATAAAAGTTATATTACACATTGACAGCACTTTGCATATAAAGGACCTAGCCTCTTTGTACTTACTCTAATGTATATCTGGACATCTATTTTTAACGCAGAGGCAGGAACAGACATGCAAACTGTCACATGAGGAAATGCATTGATCAATATAAATAGCATCAACCTGAAGTTTACTTCCTGTTCTTTCACTTTCAACAACCTTCAGCAACAACTGAATATTATGACTGATTTTTGTGAAGAATTAGCGGTGCACTATGTAGCTATTTTTGGTGAAGGGTCAGGTTGTTTCCATGGAAATGTTATTGCTTTGCCTAGAATGTTAAAGGTGCACTGCGCAACTTTTCTGGTTGAGGTTACACTACTGCATGTTGCACTATGAATGACAGGGTTGCCAGGAATTAAACTTATCTATCAGATGTTTATTCAATTACATGTGTTTTATTGCTCAAAAATACATTGGAAAAACATACATTTTACTTGAGGGTGGACTTGCCTCTCCACAAATCTAACCATAACTTGGTGTCTGGTGGCATTCTTGTCTCCATGGAGACAGAAAGGTTCAGTGCCAAACAGTTGAACACTCAGATGAAGTAATAACATATTTATCATGGAGACAAGCAGGTGGCAGACCCTCCACCAAAAAAGTTACACAGTTCACCTTTAAACTTACCGTATATTGCTTTTATTCAGTTGTATATTTTATTGCAAAAAGGCCCTTGAAAATCATGCATTCTAATAGAGACCAGGGTCGCCTCACCCCAGATCTAACCTGTGACTGCCTTGTGGGGTCACATGCCTGTGTTAATGGAAATGAATAAGTTACTGAAAAAAGTTCCATAGTGCACCTTTAAGATATTTATTTTTTATACAGTAAACATGTTTTTAATTAATAATCTTAACTTACAATGTGAAAGTAACAGCAGTCTACATCTTTTTAGGTCTAAACCAGTGGGAGGACATAGAAAAACTGAATTTCTTCCCAAAGCTGGAGGAGGTTCGGCTGCAGGGAATTCCTTTATTACAAACCTACACCAACGCAGAGCGACGTAGCCTTATGATTGCACAGTGAGTCAAATTTTCAGTAACATTTTGTTTTGGACATAATGGATCATAGACTTTGGTCACTGCTTGTTTTACATGTACAAAGATGAAGAAGTAAAAAATAAGATATATTAGACCCTATATCTCTCCCACAATGTGAAAATTCTTGTGTTGATAGGCAAAGTTCAAGAACAGCCAGGGAATAGAAATCACAGATCAAGATAAATAACTATTAAACTATTAAATGGCCCATATTACGCTACTTTCTGATCTATGATATAATGCTGTTTCTTTATCAAAAACATACCTAGAGTTATGTTTTATTTTCATTCACACACAGGTTTAACACACAAACCCTAGAGGCTGAGATCTTCTCTAAAACAGAAAACACTGCTACACTTTGTCATGTCATATGGTAATACAGGAATTGCTCAACACATCTTCGGTAGAATCATTCAGTCCTGGAATTTCTATAATAATTAAGGGTTACTCAGACATGCATGAATGTAACAAAACACAACTCTGGGTATGTTTTTGATGAGGTAATAAAATTCTAACTCTCAAGATAAGAGTCAATTTTGTGTAATATCTTCTCTCCAATTTATGTCTCTCTTTTTTAATTTTAATCTTCATGATTATTTATGTTTTGATTAGTTTTTATTATGATTTTAATGTATTTCTTATTCTGTAAAGCACTTTGAATTACTTTGTGTACGAACTGTGCTATACAAATAAACTTGCCTTGCCTTGCCTAATATCGGACCTTTAAAAAAAACATAAATCTAAACCATCTTACTGGGATACTGGATCACTTTGAATAGAGTTAAGATACAAAAAGGTGTGAAAATAACAGAATACTTCATTGTGCTAGTAGAGTAAGGCTACAGAATATGTACAATAATTGGATATGATTGCATTTTCTTTCTCTCCTTACATTGTTGTGTATGTATAACTGTTGGATACAAACATGAGTGAACTGAAGTATTGTAAAAGTTTTGGCATCTGATTAATGACTTAAAATTACAAAAATGATATACTGTATATTCCAAGAAGCTTTTTGTACACTAGTGAAGTCAAGTTAATTGTAGTTTGTTGTCCAATTTAGGTTGCCTGCTATTTCAACACTAAACGGCAGTGTGGTCAGTGACAGTGAGAGAGAGGATGCAGAGAGATTCTTTATTCGTTACTATGTGGACTGCCCTGAGGAAGAGCTCCCCTGCAGGTACAAGCACAGTATCCAGGCTGCACCAGTGTAAAAGGGGTTATGTTACCTTATACCAGGGGTCGGCAACCCGCAGCTCCAGAGCCGCATGCGGCTCTTTAGCACTCCCCTACTGGCTCCCTGGAGCTTTTCAAAAATGAGTGAAAATGGAAAAGGAATGATTTTTTTGGTTGTTGTTTTGATATGGTTTCTTTAGGGGTAAAACCGTCGTTCATCTCTGGTCATGGATCTGATCCATCAGCTGTGTGCAAATGCAAACACATGAAAAGTGTTTCAGCAGAACAAATAGATGAGCTGAAGCAGGGGGTGGTGTCCGGTGCCTCCACCTGAGAAGCGCTTTCCCCGAAAAAAACAAAACAAAAAAACACGTGCGCAGACGAACCTCTCAGAACAACATAACGAACCAAACGGGATTCACGCTTCTGTCCGGATGCTTTGCACCACCTCGGAACCAGCCGCGGTCGAGCGCAGAGGACCGGAGCAGCCCGCCCGTACCTGTGGTCCACAGCGCGCAGACGACTGCACTGCACAGTCATCTGTGCGCAGGTTCCGTGCGGGAAAAGCGAGAATACATTTTGGGTTGCCGATCCCTGCCCTATACGTTATAATCTTGTTTCCTTATCACAAACATACCTGGTTTTGTTTTGTTTCATTCACATAAATCCTGCATATTTAAACTGAGTTCTTCTCTCAAACAGAATACACTCTGTACCACCTTTAGATCTCATGCGGTAATATAGGTAGTGCTCCACTGTGTTATTAAACTCCATACACCGTCAATAGAATCATTTGGATGATTTTAGCCCTGAAATTGCCAATCTATACTGAACAAAAGTAAATGGTGTTAACTGGAGATGGAGGGAGACTAATAGTAAAGGATTACTCAAACCTGTGTGAATGAAACAAAGCACAACTAGGTTTTGAGGAAGTAACAGCATTATAACATGGCTTAAAGGGATAGTTCGGGTTTTTTGACATGAATCTGTATGGCATCCCCGTGAGCAGTGTCCTTCATCTACACTGACTTACCCCCCAAAAGCGTCCGGTGAGCCGAGATACTGGCTTTCATTGTTGACGAAAGTTGTCCGGCAAGTTGGCTGGGGACATTAAAATAAAGTGTTTTTCTTCTCAAAAAAATATGTGTTCAAAAGAGTGATACATTTGCATCACAAAACCATCGTTCTCCAAAAGTCAGACCTCATAATCACTTGGTACTATTTTCTCTGAGTTTATATCACTGTGCGCTGCCGCCAGGTAACAGTCACTCACGGATCCATTACTTTCTTCAGTTGTTTGGCAGTATTTATGTGCTCAGACCGCTGCGACGTGAGAGAGCAAACGTGAGAGCTAGAGTGATAAGTATATAAGCTTGTATAAGATACATAAGAATATATCTAAAAAATGACTCTTGATTATCCAGGCTGTAACAACAAAAATCTGGCTGAATCTCCATGCACATTTCACTGTCACGGAGATTGTGCTGAGGCAACTTTGGCTTCCTTCCTTAGGCTTCAATGTGGAAACCAAAGATAAAAAAGCTTTGTGTGTGCAGTACGCAATTCAGCGAGATTATGTTCCTTCATGTCCAGGACAGAGGAAGAAATCTGTACCCCAGGTAAGAACAAAGAGGTGCCGCTATATTTACATGCAGACAGGCTCAAGAATCAGCTAGTAACGCTGTGTGCAGCAAATCAGTCAGTGTCAAATCATCAGTGAAGCTTCTACAAAACGTAACGTAATAAGTCGACTGTTATTACTATTGTAGATGTCGCTTACACTATTGGCAGCATCTACGTGGACGTGTGGATGATTACAGAGTTTCTAAATGACGTGATGGGTGATTGTCACTCACTCGGTCTCTCACGGCTCCAGCTGTGGCTCCAGCTTCAACTTGCACCACTTCTCTGTCTCTTTTCTCTCTCTGCCTGTTCGTACTCCATCTGACGAATTTCGGCATCAGTATATTTGGGTTCATAAAGATATCCCCTTGGCTTTGTGGTAAAGGCAATGTTTTTATTGTCTGTGTCGTAATCAGACATGTTGTTGCTAACATTCCGAGCAGTAAACCAAGTGAACCAGGCGCGGTTGTCACCTGGCGGCAGCGCGCAGTGATACGAACGGAAAGAAAATAGTGCCAAGCAATTATGAGGTCTGACATTTTGGAGGGCGATGGTTTTGTGATGCAAATGTATCACTCTTTTGAACACATATTGTTTTGAGAAGAAAAATGCTTAATTTTAATGTCCCCAGCCAACTTGCCAGACTACTTTTGTCAGCACCGAAAACGGCCAGTTTCTCGGCTCACCGGACACTTTTGGGGGGCAAGTCAGTGTGGATGCACGACACTGCTCACGGGGATGCCATACAGATTCATGTCAGAAAACCTGGACTATCCCTTTAAGGCTCACAACAGTCAATGTTGCATAACATAGGATCTTTAAAAATAGTCCATAGTTTGTTTGGCATTCTGTCACCAAAGCCTGTGCTCTCTCTGTAGATACCATTGTCTGGTCACTAAGTACGGAAAGCTGGAGCCGCTTGCTGAGGTTGACCTTCGACCCCGCTGTCGTGCTCAGGTGGAGGTGCACTGTGACGAGAAGGTGGAGCAGGTGGGGTTAGCAGACAAGGACAAATTAAAACTTTTAATTTACTGCAGCTGACAGAGGTTTGAAAACACTACAGTATATTTTTCACTGTTGTGAGATCAGTCCAAGCGTTCATGATTCTGTTTAGGTGTTTGATTTTCAACTAAAATGTTATTTTTGAGAAACGTTGAACTTTATAATGGTTACATGGGTGTGTACATTGGACACTCTATCATTTCAGTGCAGTGCTAGTGATCATAATACCCTAAAAAGAGGCCACTATTCAGAAGTGTAATACCGAGAAGTTGAAAAAGTCAAAAGTACAAAAATCACAACAGACACGGGAGCAACTGTTGTGTGTGTATGTTTGTTTTTTTTTTATAGCAAGGCTTTCTACTATATAATATAGTTACCTCTGTAGCCAATGTTGCCAGTATGTGACATGGCAAGTCACAATAAAAGAAAAATGACAACATTTGAAATTGTTGAAATATTGTTATACCAAGGGAAAAAATACAAATCACATATTATTTATAATGCCGAACTATTGATCTAATCTAATAATCCAATAGTATGAAAAGATACAGTATTTCTTATGTCCTATCCGCATAAAACAAAAACTTGCATGAACATTAATGTGTTCCCTTTAACAATAACTACATTTAATTGAGATGATTCAATCCTTAACAAATAATGATAGGGTAACTACAACATTTGTGGATCCTACATTTAGATATTTCTCCCAAAATTTGTTAGAGAGTTTTGCATTTATTATTTATTATTGCCATTTATATTTTTTTTATTATACTATGCAACTGTGTCCAAAAGAATTTCCCTTGTCGGTCAATAAAGCTTGTCTAAGTCTAATTTTTTTCACAGCTGAACATCCGTTTGGACCAGACAGTGGCAGAGTTGAAGAAGCAGCTCACCACAGTGGTACAGCTCTCTGCAAACAACATGAGACTTTACTACATCGACAAGGGCATGCCCTTCGGTCCAGAGGAAATGAAGTACAACACACGGGCCCTACACTCCTACAGCATCCAGGACGGAGATGAGATCCTCGTCGTGCCCAAAAAGAAGTAAATTTAGGTATTTTTGACCAGACTGAGAAGAAAATCTACTGGATTATAATAATATTACTGATGAGGATAACCTAGCAGCAGCAACGGGCTATTTTTAAACAAAGATGTAATTGACAAAGACACTGCCTGGAAAAGCAATCTGGACAGTGTTTAGGCTTAGATTGATTTATGTGCACCAAGTTGGACACTCAATAATGGCTTAAAATGGCTCGGTGAATTTCCGCTTTGTAGTTGCCACCACATACAATTGCACATGTAGAGGAAAGAGGGTTTTCAAGAGTTATAATAAACAACTTCTCTAGGTTGTACAGCAAAGATAAAAATCAATAAAGAGGTGAGAATCTCATGTAGAAATAAAAAGTAATGACCCTTATAATTACTGAAGTAAGAGTAAAAAGTATATGGAGAATCTTCTACTTGAATACTTAATGACGGTTTGGATGTAAAATGTATTTAAAATCTGGTTTGTGATTTATGAGGTAATGTAATTGGACAGAGAAAACATTTTAATACACAGATTCTGCTATTTCCAAAGAATTTAACAGAATTTAAAGAATTGTCAACATAAAGTTTTCTAGAGTGATGCGTGGTGGAGTAACCAAAACTATTTTCATCATGTAAGAGAACTGTAACTTCAAACTAAATATTTCTCAAGTAGAACGTATGGTATTATAAAACTCTGTAAAGTAAAATTTTGAACAGAGACAATGTAACAGAGTACTACCCACCTCTGGAAAAAGGCATAAAACAAAGTAATCCCAGCAGCAGGTTCATTATAATACCTAAGGTCTCTATATAAAGTTATAAGGCTCTCTGACTGTCTAAAAATCTACCATACTGTGTTGCACTAGTCACATATGCAGAGATGTACAATGTATTCATTCACACATGCCCTCGCAGCGGCTGTTCTTTGTGTGCTGCCCCCTACTGGCGTCTTTCCTGCTACTGCGCACTGCCACCTGCCACAGAGCTCCACCTGAACTGAGAAGTGGTGACGCAAACGCCCAAACAAACCGCACACGCCGCGGGAGACTGAAAGACAATCTCTCTGTAATGTACACGCAAGTGCAGGTTTCCATTCATTGTCTGCTCCTTTGCTTGTTAATGATGTGCTATAAGCTGTTTTTTTCACAGTTTCTCATATAAAATGTGTTTTCTTATATCATAGAATTTAAATATTTCTATATAGTGGCAAACTACTGACCAAAAATAATTCAAAACACCTTTTTGTTAATGAGCTACTTCTCCTGCACAAATATTAAAGCAGACCTATTATGCAAAATTGACTTTTCAGAGCTTTTAACTTGCTATAATTATTCCCCCTTCTCATTTACCCTCTTGAAGTTGTATTTGGAGTGATTCATGCATGTTTAAGCAATCTTTAATCACTTATTTTCAAAATGCCATATTCCAGACATACGCCCACTGCTCTGTACTTCATTCTCCAATTTTATTTTATTTTCAGTAGCGTTTGTGGTCATTTTGGTATCATTGAAAAAAATCTGCTCTTATTGGGCACTGCAGTTTTTGCAGAAGTCAGCAGACTTGTTTCTTTTAGTCATTTTAGATGAATATTGCCATTTAAAATGTGTAAATTATAACATAATGATTCATGGTTATCGTAGATTATTACTACATAGCAAGGTCAAGCACAGTGGGTCTTCTTTAAAGGTACTCTAGGTAAGTTTTCTGGTGAGGGGAGCCTGCCTGTCACCTACTTATCACCATGGAGATGTTATTGCTCTGCCGAGAATGTTCCACAGTATAGCTCAGTTCAACTCAACCCTACAGATCTGACCTGTAACTTGAGTTGTCTGTCTACTGCTTGCCTCTTTGGAGATAACATTAATAACATACATAACATACATTATTGCTGTTCTGTAGAGGATTCTCTGCAAATTAATAACATCTCCAAGGAAACAAAGAGGTGGCAGACTGTCCACTAGAAATGCATAATGCAGCTTTAAGCATCATTAAAAAAAGTAAGACCACGTTAGTTTATTGCATTATAATGTAGAAAAAGCATCCATGTGATTTTATTCTGTACTGTACCAGACTTGCCTGGATTATTGATTTTCTTTTAGCACAGCACAGAGGAGAGGGTTCCTAACTGTCTTACCACGATGGAAACTAACAGCCAATAGGTCAGTCCACAAAATTAAATATTCACAGAGCTGCTTGGAAATCACTGAGCTATCTTTAGACTGTATACAAACAAAATCTCTTTTGATTTTAAGCTGCATATGCAAAGTTATTTTTTGTATTACTTTGTGTTGAGTGGAGGATAGGGCATTATATTAAAAGTGTAATACTTATTAATGATAGAAAATGCAAAGATAGTAGCAGTTTGTGCAATTTGTGTCTTATCGGAAAAAATACTGCATGAAACTGCTGGAAAAAAACGAGAGCATCGATATTTGGCGTGAAGTAAAATCAGAGGGTTAGACCAAGATTGATGTTTTTAAGATGCAATTAAAATTGTGAAAAATTAGGTTATGTTTACTTAGGTGCAAAGAAGGAATAGCCAATATATCGTGTTTGATAAAATATTAATCTAATTGTTCTTGTTTCACAATTAATCTACTCTAACTTTTTGTATCTTTATAGATTTTAAGAAGTAAATAAAACCATTTCCTTCTTCTGAAAGCTCACACACTGCACTGTGATTGGTTCAATTCTCCTGTTACTCAATTCGAGCCTAACAGAGGTTGACCAATAGGAGTGGAGTGGGTGAGAAAACAGATTTGAGGATAGATTTGCATTAACAGAAAAGCACTAAATCTTGATATGACCATAAAAAAGGTAAATAAACCAGATTGTACTTTTAATTTCTATCTTCATATCGTCCAGATGAGGGCTAGTGGGAGACCAAAGAGGAGAATTATGGGTTTAGTGAAAGAGGACTCAAGAAGCTCAAGAAGATTTTATATAAACAGATAAACACACTTTGAAATGTTTTATTTTTAGGTTATAATCAAATACATATGAAAAGAAAATGACTATGTACAAAAATCTGTTTTTGAAGATTTGGGATTATGTTAGTTCATGTTTGTCCTTATTAGTCTTATAGAGGTCTTATACATTTATAACTACCATATATCTAACTATCACACTTAGTGTATCACTACTGAAATACTTGAATAATATATTTATTACAGTTTAATATATGGGCACTACAGATTTAAAGTATTTAGTGCACAGTTGGTTACCTGAAAGTATTATAAAAGTGTGACACATTTGTCTGCATTATACCACTGTTGTTTTTATTGTAGCATGAAGCAGTCACCACAACCAACCAGCCAATAACATCCTGTCTGGAGTCTGGACCAGTTGTATTGTCTAATCTGCTGAGGACGTGTTAGGAGTGAAAATGTATTGTGTGTCAGTGTAGAGACTGTGTGAATATGCATGTTGTTTGTTTAGTTTAAAGCTGCACTGCGTAGTATTTCTAGTGGAGGGTCCATCACTCGCTTATCTCCATGGAAATGTTATTGTTTTTTCTAGAATGTTCCACAGTATAAGTTAAACCCATCTATCACCAGGGAGACAAGCAAGTTACAGCTTTACTGTACATTATCATTCAGATCTGTAGACAGTCTCTCCTATACACAGAGGAATTCTATTGCTAGATGAATATCTTTAATGTCTTACCATGGAACATTCCAGGCAAAGAACAAACATCACCATGGAGACATGCAGAAAGGGGACCCTCCACCAGAAAAGTTGCGCAGTGCACCTTAATTTTATTCCTTCCTGTGGTTGGTGTTTTTAATTGAAAAGTTTTGCTAGAATTATGAAAGTTACATATTTGAAGTATGTATGTAAGATTGCTGCTTTTTCTCAATTGTTAACTAATTACAAATCTTGAAATTTAGGTTAAAATCCCAATTGAGAGTATCCTGAAATAGCATAGCTTTCAGGATTTCATGCCAATGACATTGATATTACTAAAAGAGTATTGTGTGAATAACTGGAAACAAGTCATGCGGTGTTTATTTAAAATTATTCTGACTGAATGAGAAAACAACTGATGATTAGATGTTTTACAGGTTTTATTTTTAAATTTGTCGTACAGAGGAATATAATTTTTTTGCTGTTGTAGCATTGTGCAAAGAGAGAATTGTCCTGTTATTGTTTATTATTGCTGAAATCTCCCTCATATCTCATACCTAGCCCAAAGCACATTGTTTTAAAGCACCATGTAGAATCAATAGCAATTACCTGCCACTAAAACTTAATTGCCTCACTTGCCTAAAATGTCTTGTATGAGTGCACAAATGGTTATAACCTTGGTCATTTTCTAACACCACTCACCAGTACCTAAGCTAATCAGTCCACTCAATAACATGTCACATCCATTCAAGTGTAACTGAATTGTCTGTTTTGAGAGTATGAGACGAGATAATAAAAGAATCAGAATCAATGAGTGTCTTCCATATAAAATCTGGGTGCAGCATTTCTAGACATTTTGCAATATGGTATATCATTGTGGTGGCTTGGAACAAAGCTATATTTAGATACACTTCGGGGGCTTAGATGTGTGCTTCTGGAGAGTATTATACTGCAGATATTTGATGTTATGATTCATAGCCTTTTGTATGTTGAGTGCTTTAACATGAATGGCTGCTTGTGGAAGAGTAGAAAACAATGTCAAAGAAGATTATTTAAATTGCAAAAAAAATTACCACGTCATAAAATAGAAAAAGAAAGTTGCCTAGCTATAGAGGTAGCCTATATGAATTAATTATCTCATATTGTATTGTATTAGATTTTTGTAGTTTAGTTTGATTATATTAGAGAAGAAATACATTGTATATTTGCATCATTACTGTCCCTCAGCTGATGATGATGGCTTACTTACTTTGTTTATTATTATGAATGCCTTTATTTCATTTTTAAACAATGCTTTTTTCCCATCCTACTTTTTATATTTAAACTACTTTTTTTTCTCAGTTAAGGCCCTTGAGTCAATCTTTATCTACCTCCCACACTACCAACCATAATAATGCAGCATTTTTTTCATCAATGAACGACGATTACGCTGATGTTTACGTTCGTTTCTGCGGCAACGGCGTAAAAGGCGGGACTTGTGGGGGCAAATGGCGCTTGCGTAAGTCTTTTCAGCCAATCAGAGGCCAGCTCCAGCACGTACAGTTGTCGTCAGCCTTAAAGCGAACGGCCCGTGGTTCCCGTTACTCGGTGATCGCAGAAAGTCTGAACTGCGGGAGGAGGACATAGGCAGATATGGCTGAATACCACCGTTGCCTTGAGTAAAAACCCACGTAGGTGCACTATTTACATCTGATTACTTAACCGGATTACATGAATTGGTTTCAACGGTTGCCGAAACGAAAAAAAAGGAATAATTTTGGGATCTGTTTATGGATGTTCGCCCCGGGATGTCCAGATCTCGGGTGAGTTTACGTTACGTCGCTTCACAACATCTTTTATAAGCCATTATTACATTTCACAGGGCTGCAAAACTCCGCTTAAACTTTTCTTAAATTGTCTTTTTGAAGTCAAGTTGAATTGTTGTGCTTATCGGCACTAAAGGATAACTACAAAGCCGCTATTTTCTGCGCACTGTCAAGTTTTTAGCACTCCTTTTACGACGCTACCAAGGGGAAAAACCACGGCAGGTGAAACGGATCTATCCTGGGATGTTGTTTTTTAATTTATTTGAGTATTTTGAAAAAATTTTTCCTTTTCTATTTATCTTTTGAAGGAGGCCTAAATCTAACTATCTAAAAATATTTTTTCTAGGGAAACGTGTAGAATATTCGCTAAAGTATCAAGTGTCAACGTAAGATTGTGCGTAGCTGGTACACAGATGCTTTTAGCCTGTGAGGATGTCATCTTTATGGGCATTTTAAGTGTTTTGAAACCAAATAACCTGATGACAGTTGTGATTTACCCCAATGCTTCAAAGATAATGTTTAACCGACGGTAGGATGAGTGCAAGTTTGGTACAATGCTGCTTTTGGATCCCCGCCCCTCTCCCGTCCTATCTTCTCTGCACTCCAGCCATGTCCTGCGGTTCACGTGTGCATTAACGTTACATAAATCTATCCTATCGATCATTTCGTTAAAGATGTGCAGTCATATTTGGTATAGCGAGTGAAAAGACCGCTGGTACTTGACTGTATCTCTAGTAGCAGAAGTGTCGTCTCTGGTCTATCTCGTGTAACGCTATACCTCTCTGTATCTCTGTGTCCACTACAGACTACCGCTTTTTTCCACTGCCTCTCACTGACACACTGTACGTCAACGATGTCCCTGCTGTGACGTTGTAATGTGCTAGTAATGCATAATCAATATTAATAGCCGTTCCAGTACATCAATATTTATGGTTATTTACCCTTTATAACATCAATGGTGTGCTTATTGATTCTGGAAACCTCAATTTATTTTAGTCCTCACATGTCAGTCACTCTGTGTTTTTGAATGTTCATCTTTGACCTTTGGGGCAGTTCAAGTCAAGGGGTCATGTGGGTGTATTGGGTCAGCAGTTTCATGGTCAGTTATTGTGCTTTTTACCTGTGTAATAACTGGTGAGATTACATGCTGTATGAGATGTGCTCTTTAGGTTTGATGAATATCTATATTTGATTACAGGTAATTATGTGCAAGAATATTGGAAAAATGTATTACGATATAAAAGTTTCACTTGAATGAATATGGAATTGCAAAATGTCAACCTAAATGTGCACAACGCTCCAGCTAATATAATTCAGATCAAGCCCGAGATGAAAATGAGTCCCCAGTCTTTTCCTATTTCACAATATTGCACCTGGAGAGTGGATCCATCACCGTCATATTGAAATGTAACCTTATGTTGGTGTATTACTACTCTGTATCATAATGATTTGATTAATGACTTCTTTTTTTTTTGCATTATCTCAATAACAATATTCAGATCATATTTTTTTCAGTGCAGCTGTGCTAAAATGTGCCTGTATCTTTGTTGAGGTTGAAATCTAGCACAAAACATAGTTGGACCACAAAATGAACCACAAAATGGCAGAAATATCACTGTATCTCACACTACACATTTCTGTCTCTTTTTGACTTCATCTTTAATTGTTTTAATTATTGACTCTATGCACTATATGCAGTATTCTAATTTTGCATATTGTCCAAAAAAACAGATCTCTCACCACTATTATTTGCAACCACATAAATCAATCTGCAAAAAAAGAAAATATACAAAATCAAACAGTTTTAATTTGTGAATTTTTATTTCACAAACAGGTGCAAGAACATATACTGCCCACTCTTTTACACCTTTAACCCACAAACAATTTTAGCTCTAAAACGTGGCAGTCACTCTTGTATTTACTTCTGATCTCATTCTCAAGCTTTAACCAAGAGCCAGATCCCACCTCTCTGAACCTGGATGGTACTAAACATGGTGGACATACATAGAAGCTGTTGGTTGTTAACACTTGAGAAGCCTGTGAATGAGTCATGCTCTTTAAGCTTGTGCCCTATTTATTTCATTTACTTTTAAATTTCTGATGGAAGCCAATCTGCTGCAGCTCCACGTTTACCAGTGGCCTCGCAAAGCTCTCATGCAGTAATTCTCAAACTTTTTACACCTAGCACCACCTAAAAAGTGAAAAGTAATCTCATTAATTACTTAGTTAGTCTACCAAGAGCTCAGTGAATAGTGATGATCACATGGCTTGAAGAAAAGGTAATGTAATAATAAAAATAATAATAATAATAATAATAATAAAATGTACTATTCAAATCAATAAAATATTGTCTTAGGCCTGTCATGATAAGACATTTTCAATATAGAGAGTATCATTAAAAGGCATGAGCTGCAACAAATAAATAACTGAATTAACTAATAATTAGCCAGGGAAGGTTAAGTAAGTGATTTATTTAACCTTTTACAGCTCAAATGTTATTGTATTAAAACAAAAATACCCTAAATCTCCCCTCTTTGTACACACAATACATACCCAAAATATGTTGTTCCATCTTTCATATTGAACAATATGTCGATATAGTAATTGTCGTGACAGGCCTATTTGTTTACAGCCCAGACTCACCAACAACAATAGCCTCATAGGCCTTGTACAAAGTTATCTATCAGGCAGTTAAGGCAAGTAGTCAAATTTATAACTCATCTACCTACACTAATCACTACTTAACTGGATTTAAGACAAGCCCAAGAGATATAACTAAATATAAAAGGATTAAAGTGACTTAAAAGCACTCAGGACTGAACAAGGACTAGACCTTTAACATTTCAGAATTAACAACAATCTAAGGGTGTGTTCACACTCGCACTACACATCTAAATTGGGACTGAACTGCTACTAAACCTGGAATTAAAGCTAGGCTGTACCAGGACTAGCCCAAAACTTGAACAAGACCAATCCAAGTCTACATCAAGGTCAAGGTGGGCTAAGTTAAAGGGATAGTTCAGGATTTTTGACATAAATCTGTATCGCATCCCCGTGAGCAGTGTCGTGCATCAACACTGACTTACCTCCGACAGCGTCTGGTGAACCGAGATACTGGCCGTTTTCGGTGCTGACGAAAGTAGTCGGGCAAGTTGGCTGGGGACTGTATAATAAAGCGTTTTTCTTCTCAAAACAATATGTGTTCAAAAGAGTGATACATTTGCATCACAAAACCATCGTCGCCTAAAAAGTCAGACCTCATTATCGCTTGGCACTATTTTCTTTCCGTTTGTATCACTGCGCGCTGCCGCCAGGTGACAGCCGCGCACGAATCCACTTTGTTCAGTTGTTCGGCAGTGTTTACATGCGCAGACCGCTGCGACGTGAGAGAGCTAATGTGAGAGCTAGAGCGATAAGTGTATAAGCTTGTACAAGATACATATGAATATACCTAAGAAATGGTGCGAACTCTTGATTATCCAGGCTGTAACAACAAAAATCTGGCTGAATCTCCATGCACATTTCACCGTTTTCCTATCACGGACTTTGCGCTGAGGAAACTTTGGCTTCTTGTCTTTGGCTTCAATGTGGAAACCAAACCAGTCAGTGTGGATGCACGACACTGTTCACTGGGATGCCATACAGATTCATGTCAAAAATCCCGAACTATCCCTTTAAGTCTAAATGTTGTCTGAACTTGAACTTGTTTTCAGATGCATTCACAGTTGCACATAAAAATAGGGAATAACTGGGATTAAACTCTGAACTGCACCAGGTCTTTTTGCAGGACCAAATCACCTACATCAGAGTTTAAATTTAAATCTTGACCTATGTGCACCCAGAGTTAAACTAGGACTTCCAGGTCTGAACCAAAGACTATAACAGCACCATGTATTGAACTGGACCATACTATGTACCACCAGTTACCCAGGGACCACACATAAATATTCTGCAAGCCACTGCATTCCAAATACGAAGTGATCATCGACTCCTGCTCCAATTCACTTTGTAATGAAAAAAACATCGCCCTTCTCTCCCTAACTGCTGCTGCCAGGCTCCTCATTTTGGTTTTAAAATGTTTGTATTAGCCCTTTCTACATGATCCTGGTGTTTTTATTTTGCTTTTTTGTCCGCAAATCAGTTCCTATTCCTAGTATGCAACTCTGCTCCAAATTCACCCCTATAACTGGCAACCTTGATGAGCTTCATCTGACTGGAGCTGAACACTATGGGTGACGTCACACTCCCTTAGTCCAATTCTTTACACAGTATGTGGTCAGGATGCACTGTCCTGTTGCTTGTCCTTTAAGAACAAATTGGAATGCACCGAGTGTTGAGTGACCTGTGGAGGTCATAGGCGGCTGCTATATTTAACAGCCCTGTAACTTGATCCGGTGGCATTCTGCGTGGCTCTGCTCATACTACACGAGTCTCACACTCCCAAGTAGCACCCCATCGCTTCTCCTGCCCACTGCCGCTCCGCGCAACAAGGGTGAGCCTCCAGACAAAACCAATAACCACTACTAACCCTTTCTCGCCATAGGTACCCGCCTGTCAGTGTGGCTGTTCAAGGGGTCGGGAGGAGGGCTTAACGATTTTGGAAAATTATCTACTTGCGATTTTTCTGACAAGAATTGCGATTAGATGTGCAGTTTATCTTTTAATAATAACATTCTGTTTAAAGTCTACATTTTAAACACGTCCAGGAGCATTAACATTTAAGAGAAGCCTGAAACTGAATTGCTAAACTAATACAAGAATACCATGCATTTCAGAACATGTTTGTAGAGGTCTAAGCTACAGTGTTAGCAGGTTTTAGATTTGACTAGACACACTATTTTGTTTTGTTTGTAGAGGAAATTATTGCAGTCTTTGCTATGTAACTTTGTGCCCATTATAACTGTGCTTTTGAGTCAGTTGCATTATATCTTGCAGCCCTAGTCAGGAGTGTGCATTGAAGAATAAACAATGGATTTCTGATTTTTTTCTAGAGTTTGAGTTTAGCATGGCAACAGTTTGGTGCTAGTTTGGTTGAATAAATATAGGGCCTAGTTGTGATGTGACAATATGCAAAACAAATGCAAAAGTAAAACTATATTTCTGCAACCTGTTGATGACTACTTTTTAATTTTCTTTCCAGTTATAGATTTTTAATGCCATCCTCCTCTCCTGCAAGTTTGTATTTTAAAGTTTTAACATACCGACACCACACTGGGCTAAATAGGGGGGTTGGTGCTATCTTTATAATAGCTAATGTGGGGTTTCTATAGCGATTGGCGGAGCGAACTGAAATAGACTTGGAATAGTTGGCTGGTTGCAGAATGCCACCTGTTTGAGTAGTTTTGTTAATTTCTTGTTCTTGTCTTTCAGGACTGATCTGTCTCACTAAGTCTGCACCTGTGTATACCGGGGTAGCAACTATAGGATGAGCTGCCCCAAAGCCTTTTCTGTGGGTGGGGATTGACAAGTCATTACAAATACAGCAGGTAAAGTCAATTAAACACACACATTTTTACTTATTTATTGTATTTTTGTGCACATTTTCAGTAGATTTTCAAATTTGGTCAAATTACATATAGCCCCACTAATAATAAAAAGACAGAGGTTTGTATAAATAAAATGTAAAAAAAATAATAATAATCAGGGAAATCAAAGAAGTCGGTTGTAATCTGTTTAGTTTTATCCACAAAAAGTATACAATAGTTAGAAAATCTGTTGTAGCCAGAACATTCCAAAATGCCTTTCTTAGTACTAACTTTGTACTAACTTTCGGAAAACAAAACCCCAAACACATAAAAATTATTTGAACAATATTCAACTCCTAATAATAACCATACAATGACATGTTAATATAAGCCAACATTCTTACTTGTAGTTTTCTTTTTTAGCTCCCAGTGACTCACCAGAATGATTAAACTGGGTTTGCTGATGCTGTGCGTCAGAGCCCCTGCATCTCTGCTGTGTAAAAATGAAGACTGTATGGCAATAATAGAACCAATTAAATACTCAAAAGCTAGTTCCTTAAGGCATTATAGATGGATGTAGATGTGCAGTAGAGAGCTGACCCACCCCTAGCTGTACCATCAGGTTTAAATCAGTTTTAAAGATGCATTGTGTACCTTTTCTGGCCACCTGCTTGACTCAGTGGAGATGGTATTGCTTTGCCGTGTTCCACAGTAAGGCATTACTCTTGTCTATCTAGCATTAATTTAATTTCAGATGTTTTTATTGTTTGAACCTGACTTATCACTTGACCTGGTAGAGCAAAAATTTTTGTCATACGTTTTTCATACTGTGGAACATTTTTGCCAAAACAGTAACATCTCAATAGAACCAAGCAGGTGGCATGTTCTCCACCAGAAAAAGGTATGAAGTGCACCTTTAAGTTAAAATATAAACATGACTAAACTGTGATTAAAGCAGGACTGACCTGATGTGTAAAGAACTACACATGGACAAAAGCAATAATAACCTAGCCAGGCTGGCGCCACCTAGTGCCTCTATTCAATTTCATTTCTCTCCAGCGACTAGGTCTGGAATTGGAATACACTAGACGGTTCTCAAAAACCCCAAAAGTGCAAGTCCTGGCACCAGCTAATCAGCTAATCATACATTCTGTGTTGGCAATAATTCCCGAGATCGAGGATGTTTGGTGAATTTTATCAAGGAGAAAGACGTTATTGCCCTTCTTCCTACAGGATTTGGGAAAAGCTTAATATACCAGTTAGCCCTGTTAGCAGTGCATTACAATAGCAGCAACTGGTTAAATGAAAAAAGTACCTGCCTACCATCGAGCGAACAAATTCTAATGCTGCGAGGTCAGACGGTTTCTATAAAGTGAAACTGGCAGATAATAACCAATAATGTAGTCTAAACTAAATAAATAAATAAATAAACCCAGGTTTAACTATTCCATTGTTTCCCAAATGTAAATTGGAAAAAATTATTGAGACTCATTCATACTCTTTGTCACTGTGTGTAATAATGTGTGTGATTGATCTGGTGATTAGACATAAATGAGACATTGGTCATACACCCTCTGCAGCGTGAGGCCACTGCTGCTGCATGCTCTGACTCACCAACACACTGGAGTAATGACACATTCTCACTGGCTGCTCCCCCTCGATTGGCTTATGTACCTACCTATGCTGTACTACTCCTAGGCTTGTCATGATAATTACAAAATCAACTTATTTTTCAATATATGTCAGATGGAACAATCATTTTTGGGGGTTGTATTTATTGTGGTGACTTTTTCTTAGTACTGGTGAACCTTTTGTTATTTTTACCTCCGCCAAGGAGGTTATGTTTTTGCCGGCGTTTGTCTGTTTGTTTGTTTGTTTGTTTGTTTGTCTGTTAGCAACATAACTCAAAAAGTTATGGACCGATTTTGATGACATTTTCAGGATTTGTTGGAAATGTGAAAAGGAAGAAATGATTTGATTTTGGGGGTGATCCGGAAGAAATCCTGGATTCTGGATCACTTTGAAATTTTAGTTAACATTGTGGTAAATGGGGCCAAAAATTTTGTTTCTCAATATCTCGGTTAATTATTGTCCAAACCCCATGAAATTTGACTCAGGGATGGACAATGGGATCCTCTTTCATATTCCAAAGGCTGATCCGGATCTGATCCAGAAGACTGATTTTATCGCAATTTATATAAAAAATGGGGGTAGTCCTTGGCGGAGGTCTGCGCTCTCTGAGTGTTTTTCTAGTTTTTTTTAGGACAGTTCTACTTAAGGGTTTTTGGTCAGTAGCATAAATTAACTTCAATATTATAATTTATATCAGTGTTTTCTTAAGCATTTCAAATTGTGTTGTTGTGACAACCATTAATGCATTGCATTATTATTTACTTGATACCACTTGACATCACTTGGTCTGTAAAAGCTTCTATGAGACAAATGACCTCACTCAGATACAAAACCAGTCCTTGAGAAAACTCTTTGTGCTCACTGGTAAAACATATGTCAAATAAGGTCTGAAGTTGTATAATCTTAAAGGGGCACAGTATGTTCCACAGTATGGCATTAAATGTATCTGGCATTTATTCAATTACAGGTGTTATATTACTAAAAATATACCAAGCGAATCTAGTTTTACCTCGAGTCTCCACAGATCTGACTTGTACCTTGGTCTGGTGGTGTCTTTTGCTTGATTCCATGTAGCAAGATAAATTTAAAGCCTTACTGTGTAATATTCCAGGCAAAACATTAACATATCCTGGAGGTAATTAAATTAAATTCAAATTTATTTATATAGCACATTTAAAACAACTTGAGCTGACCAAAGGGCTTCACATAGGAGTCAAGAAAAACAGAAATAAAAGATATACAGGTAACATGATACATAGAAAACTACAAGTAAAGCAGATGACGGACCCTCATTCAGAAAAGTTACATCAACTTTACTCTAGTTGAAGAAAATTGGCCTAAGTAGCTCTGTTTAATGCAATGCTTGGAACACTTACAGAAAGTACATTATATACAAGGTTATTACCAAAAACACAAAAATTGTCACAGTAAAAGACTTTAAAACGTTTGGTTCAACAGAGTGAGGGTCTGACTGTGGACTAAACTCTGGAGCTGAGGCGTCAGTGTGGCTCTCACATCAGTACAGTCCTCTCTCACATTTCAGAGTATATTTAGCTTCTGTTGGACCAGTTAAACCCAGCACAGCCAATGGACCTGAAAATGCTTCATCAGAACAGTTTTATTTAACTAAAACTAATTTACAGGGACTTTCGAGGGAGTTGTAACTGCTTAATTCCATTGCTCATATTCTATTGCTCATAATTACATAAACTGTTGTGTCAATGTGAAAACGTGTAATGTCATTTCATCATTAGCACAGTGTGGAGAGTGATAATAGTCAGATCACAGTGACCCAGATAAGTTTTTATAAGTTTAAAGGTTCACTGTGTAACTTTTGTCGTGGGGCAATAACATCTCCATGGAGACCAGAAATGTGCCGCAGTATGGCATTAATTGTACCCATGTTGCATTTATTCAATTAGAGGTGTTCATTGCTCAAAATTACCTGATGAAAAAATTTAACAAAAACATGCATTCTCACTGTGAATGGGTCACCTCTCCATAGAGCTGACTTGGCCTGGTAGTGCCACCTGCTTCTCTTCATGGAGATAGACAAGTTTAAGGCTATGCGGTGGATCCATGAAGACAAGCAGGTGGCAGACCCTCCACCAGAAAAGTTTCATAGTGCTCTTTAACTGAGTTAAAACTGTCAATGATGATACTTTGGCAACTTTTATTAGCATTTTTATTATATGGTTCCAGTATAACATACTGTATGTGAATAGCTCAAATCAAAAGACATAGAGCCTTGGAGATGGAATAATTTTCCACATTTACAATAAAAATATTATGATGTCCAGGCACTCATATGTTAGCAATAAGACATTACGTATGTACTCTTGATATGTACCACTTTGAGCTGTCATTCTCTGGTTTAAGTGTTGTTTGTCTGAACCCTGCCCAGAAACTGAAACCTCATCTCGTCTTGCTCATTGCCAAGCCATGCTCGGCATTAACTGCTAAAACATACTCCCCCTCAGCAGTGCAGCCCTCCCATCCACTTAACTCCTAATTCATAACTTCCTCATTCAGTCCCAGGCTGATTTTAACTATATAGACATCATCAGACAGCACTTTTCTCTTTGTCTTAACAGTAGTGTTGTCACAATACTAAAATTTCAAACTCGATTTCAATACTAAAGAATAGACTCAATACTCAAGAAGACGGGTTCATATCATAATACCACAATGATAATTAAAAACACTCCTTCTTTAGACAATAGAATGTGATTTTCAAGATTAAATAATAGTCTTTGTTACCATCTGGATATATTTTATATCTGTGTAATCCCTCAGTCATCTGTGTAGATTCCATAGTGGTCCATGGGTGTATACTAGTCGATGTGGCCTTATATTTGTTCTGATACAGCTCAAGATCATTCTAACGCTATTGAGAAAAGGTTCATTTCTGTAAGTATCTGATTTTCAATACTTCTGGCAACCCTTCTTAGCAGTTGTCAGCCTCTTGCATACAGTGTAAATTGGCTGCGGATATCTGACTCTCCGTCGCTGCAGCTTTTTGGTCTCTCTATGCGTCGGTAGCACAGAAACAAATGCAGCGTTTCCATGGCAGCGGCGGAAACAGACTCAGGGGAGGAAGAAAATGCAGAGTAGCCCAAGAGAAGGAAAGTGCGGGGCATGACTGTGTACGGCGTCGTTTCCCCAGAGATCACTCCTCTAGTGAAATCTATAGTTTACATTTGTCCTATCAGCTCAGAGAGGATCCTCCCACGGCTACACTTACGGGGAGTTACTATACTGCTCAAACACAAGCGAAAGTAAAGATGGATTATAAAGCAGTGAAAGAAGTTTGGTGGATGCTGTGGTATAAAAAGTATTAAAAGTAAAAGAATAGAAACTGGAAAAAAGCATTGCAATTTGTATGTTGTTAGCATATACTGAATGTTCAGATATTCGTTTTGGAACAAACTATTGTTGTATGACTGTTAGCATCATTGTTACTTTAATACTTGAAAGGGTGGGAGGTTAAACATTTAGACTAAATAAATAAACACGCCTTACAGTTAGAATCAAATTATCTTCATTAAAAGCAACTTTCACTGCAGACAAACTTTATTGATCCACAAGGGAAATCACTACTGCTACTATTGCAAACTCTGATACCACTAAAAGTACTAAATAATTGAAAAATGTGACAAATATAAACTAATAATAACACAATATTCTTACAAAGCGATTGAACTAATTTGATACTTTACACTTGGAGCTGAAGAGACTGATTTTCACATATGTGAGCTGTGCTGCGGAGGAAGTGTAGAATGAACTATTGATTTAACATTAAAGTCTCGGCGTAGCCGCTGGTTCAGCACTGGTCCACTAGGCCCTGGTGTTTTGGGCAGCGCTGTGCTGTGGCATGTCTCCAGCAGGCAGCGTGTGCCTACTCCACATCCATATTCTGAATAATTGATCATGCTCTGGTCACTGAGGGAGAGAGAGAAAGCGATCTAGAGCAGCAGAGGAGAAGTCAGTGCAGGGAAAGCACACAGAGAGTCAGAAGAGAGAGAGGAGATGGAGGAAATAGAGGAGAAAGAGAGAGAGAGAGGATAGAGGAGACAGAGAGGAGAGAGAAAGAGCGAGAGAGAGAAGAGAGGGGAGAAACCAGAGCTCCCAAACTGAACTCAACACGCATCCACAACACCAGATACTTTTATTTATTCAAACGGTGCTGCGCTCGTGAACAAGAGCCCTCTCAACCTGGGACGCTCTCTGTGGGCACACTCTGCTGTTAAATATGGGATTATACAACAGCAGTGGGAGTACTATGGAAGGCCTGGAGAACTGAATACTTCATTATAGTCTTTAGTGACCACATGCCGAAACCAAATAAGGTTGCAATTATTCTGAAGTAAGTCAATTTGGCAGTAACTAATTGACAACATACCTAAAGTTAGTTTAATAAAAAAGCCTTTTACATGTTATCTCTAAATCTTAGGGTGCACTATGTAACTTTTCTAGTGGTAGGTCAGCTAAATTGTGTTATTGCTTTGCCTGGAATGCTATGACACAGTATGACATCTCTTTCTCAATTACAGATGATTTCTTGCTAATAAATGCCTCTTACTGTGAACGAGCTTGCCTCTCCACAGCCCTGACCTGCAGTTTGGCTTAGTGGTGTCACCTGCTTGTCTGCATGGATAAAAGTTTCAAGCTATACTGTGGAACATCTCAGACAAAGCATCACCAGGGGAACAAGCAGGTGACAGACCCTCCAAAGAGAAAAGTCACATAATGGACCTTTAATTGTCAACTATTTTATGTGTACAAGTTAGTCATTATAAACTCATTAGGTTATTCTCTTTACTTTATTTAATAGGGGTTATGTGTAGGAGTTTTTGACCTTTTTGACTTTGCACGCATGCAGTAATGTTGACTAAGGTCTTTTTTAACCTGCTATTTGTCTTCCTGTTACTATTTCTATGAGATCCCCAGTCCTTTTGTGTTCAGTGGAGCAGTAATATGCCTCCTCCATTGTTGCTGTGTTGGTAGTTGCTGATGTACAGTCTCTTTGCTGTGTTTGCAGTCAATGCGGTCTTCCAGCGGCGCTCTTGTCCCGTACCAGCAGCAGCATGTCCCGCGTCTCGTCCACCGCCAAACGATACCCCGGCCCCTCCTCCTACACCTCCCACTACAGTTCATACACCTCCTCCCTGGGCACCGGCCTTAGTTCCTATAGCGACCGGGACAGGCTCTCCACCTACAAGTCCCCCTCTTCATCTTCTTCCTCCTCTTCCGGATACTCCTCTTCCAGCTACCTGAGCTCGGCCGCCCGCTCCCGAAACTACAGCTCCTCCTCGGACCCCGAGCGAGACCGAGGCCGGACTGTCCCGCGCAGTGACATCCTCGGGACCAGCAGTATCGGGAGTAGACGCAGCGAGAGTCTCAGTCGGACCCCCGTGAAAAGTTATGCCGGGTCAGGGTTGAGTGGGGGGGCGGGCTACTCCTCCTACAGCTCCTACACTTCGTCCTCGGCCCACTCAAACTACCTCTCCTCTTCACCAGCGGCCTCCAGCATCTCGCTCAGGCGTAAGTCAGTGTCCCAAAGTGATCTAAGTCGAGACCTCGCCTCTCTGGGCATCAGCGACCCCTCCTCTTCCTCTTCTTCCTCCTCCACCCCAACCTCATCCGTCCTCCGGAGCTACCGCACCCGAAATAGTGATGTGTCCGACTCCTATGGTTCTCGGTCGGGGTACGCAGGCCTGTCCCGCAGCTCTACTCAGGAGATCCTCAGCAGCAGCAGCAGCAGAGCACTAAGCACCTCGTCGCCATGGGAACCCAGCAGCAGTAATGGCCGCTCCGAGTCGCCATCCCGGGACACATCGTCAACGGTAAGAAACTGACACACACACTTCTGCTTTTTAGTCATGCTGCTTCAAAGGTAGGGAAATTGAGGCAAAAATATGATCAATACTTTTGGCTTATATCTCAAGTAATTGCTTCTTTACTGTGAAATTTAATTTAATTTTAATGCAGATTAGAAAAGTGTATTTAAATGTGTTTTGAGTACCAGAAAGAGCACACAAAAGAGAGATCATTCTGAACAGGAGGCAATAATATGTAATATGTATTTTTGTAATTTATTACATTTTCAGTTTAAATCAGATTATTTGCACAGACCTATCTAAAGGGTGCAATACCAGAGGCATGCTTGCTTTACAGTGAAGTGAAGAAAGCACACTATCGACTTTGGCCAAAGGGGGGCACTGTTGCTCAAAGTAAAGAGGTCAGGATTCCCGGAAAAGTTGAAATACTCTTCTTTGTAATGTGTAAAAATACTACATAATACACAACTTCACTGTGTCACTGGTGTCTGGTTCAATTTCACCGTAGGATGAACTGTTTCATGAAAACAATTTCAAGGCCCAAGGAGATTTTTAATTTAATTTTCTTTGCCAAAAAAGTTGGCAACTTCAGAATTAATCCTCAATAAATAACTTTCTTTCTGTAGACCTAACATAAAATGAAAGAGAGATATATTTTCCCTAAAATCTAACTTATAATGAATTATATTATATAAATTAGTACCTTTATTGTTTTTTTTTTACATGCATCTTTAGGTGAATCTATATCTCAGTTGTGTAGAGGCATTATGCTGCCCTACAATGGAAGCCGACAGTTATAGTGAGAAAAATGGCTTTACAGTTTTGATGTTGTCCCTCTTGCGGATGTCAGAGGTATACTAATTATAGTATGTTTATGTGTTATCATAAGATGTGTTAATATTTATTCATCACAACCATTACCGCTGATTATACCTTTGACGTCATTGTACAGCTGGTCTGCGACAACGTATTTGGGGAGATCTTTTACTACTAAAAAACATTATTTCAGTTTCAGTATTTCAGTTTGTGTTGAATAAGAAGATGTGAAAGTTTCAAGTCTGTATTTTGTCCCATTTCTGAATTAGACAAAAAACAAGCATGTTGCAGTATCTGTACGCTGTGTGAAATTGTCCCGTAAAACAACAGAGAAGTGCAGCATCTGTGTTTGAATTAGTCAGTTACAACATTCGTTGTTGCAGTTACTGCAAATTTTCTTTGAATCCCTGTACTTACAGCAAATTGCACATCAAGATTTCTCAAAAACGAGATAGAGTTGAGTCATAAAACTTTGTCATCAAATAAAGCAGGTGTTAAGAAAGTGTTGTTTGGTTTTAGCACTATTTTGCCAAAATACGCAGTTACTGCATTTTTCTTTTGCAGGGCAGTTTTTAGGTGGAGGCCCCCAAACCTTCTCTTGAAATTCTCAAATCGAGTATTTTATGGCAATAAAATTAGTGTAATTGAATAAATAAAAGATGTATAGCATATTGTGAACTTTCCAGACAAAGCAATAACATTTTATGAGACAACCAGGGGACATACATAGTACCACTTTAAGTAAGTCCTTTTGAGTGAATGTGAATAGTTGTTGACATGAATGAATGGTATTTTCTACTATATACTTCTTGCATGTCCTTGATCTGCATAGAGACATAGTAGTCACACAGATTTGACAGTAAGTTTTGAGGCCTCACACTTGACCTGTTGTAAGCCGAGGTTGTTTTCGCATCAGATCTCCGTCTCGTACTCTCAGGCAGCTCGAGTGTTATGAGAGTGTCCAGTTTTAATGACCAGGTCAGAGCCACAGTGACCCACTTCCTCTGGGATTAGGCCTGAAACATCTTACATGAGCAGTGCAGGGGCGAAAATGCAGGCAACAGCAGATTATACCAGATTTAATGCATTCATAGCATTTATTACAATTTCTTAGTATAATAATATCAATATTTTTACAGCCGTGTTGCATATTGTTTTGTTAGATTTATGTAACTATGCTCTTCCTGTGCTGAGGTCGGCTTAAAGCTGAAGTACCCAACTTTTTCTCATAAATCTGTAAATTTTGTTTTCGTACATGTCTGTATTGTAAAAACAATCAGACCCACATGCTGTCTTCACATTTTAGCCATTACTGGTAAACTTGTACATATCTCTTTAGGATAAATTTTACAAAACTACTTGAATGCCTCATATAGTAGTTGACTGTGCAATCTTACCAACTCCTCATACTTACTACTCCACATCACTGTTTTGAATTATTCATCTCTGGATAAAAAGCTGCTCTGAGTGTTGTAAGATAAATATAATTATAGATCTTAAAGTTAAAAGTACTTTCACATGATGTATTATACAGTATCTTCAATGTATAATTGATGACTTTCTATTTAACACTGGTTATGTGTGAAAGGTTAGACAAACAACATATGACTTCAGCGTATGTTTGCAGCATGTTTATTTAGTTTAGTTGAGCAGAAAAAATCCTTTAGCTCATGCATTAAAATGTATATAGTTTATGCAGTAATCTACATTACATTAAATATTGTGCAAAATAAACTCTTTCTTTTCAGCCATATTTTTAATGCTGTTACCTCCTTAAAGACATACCTGGAGTTGTGTTTTGTTTCATTCACACATGTTTGAATAGTTCTGGTTTATTAATCATTTTGCATCTCCAAAACTCACAATGGCCTGTTCCACCTTGTTTTGTCATGTACTGGTAGTTTTCAATTTTACTGTGACTTTTTATCTTTAGTTCAGTAGATATCGGCAATTCCAGGGCTGAAAAGATCCAAATGATTCTAGTGAAGATTAAGTTTTTATCACATGGAACATTTTTTTCTGTTTAGTTTTTATGCAGAGTTTGTGAGTTAAACATGTGTGAATGAAACAAAACACAACTCCAGGTATGTTTGTGATCAAGAAACAACATTATAACGTAGATCTTGTAGATGCAAAAATACATAATGATAAAGCAACATTAATGTTCTCTCTCCAGTCCTGTCCAGTCCACTTGTCACTGTAATCTGGAATGATCTCTATAATTTGTCTACAGTAGAGTAGAGTAGAAAATTAGATTAAGATAGATTAATTAAAACTGTAACTGTTCTATTAGCAGTTTAATCCCAGCTCCAGTCAGCTGTTATTTCCTAAGTGGGGTAAGCGGGGCTCTTAATTATTAATTAATTAATTATTGCATTTTTAGCACCTTTCAAAACACCCAAAGCACTTTACAGTTTATTGTTCATTTACTCCACACTCAGTGGTGGCAAATTACTATTGTAGCAACAGCTGCCCTGGGGCAGACTGACAGTAACGAGGCTGAAAATTGGTGCCATCAGCCCCTCCGACCACCACCAACACTCACACACACTCCACTTTCTTACTAGGCAATGTGGGTGAAGTGTCTTGCCTAAGGACACAATGACAGTTTTTTATCACTGGCACCCCACTGTGGCACCTGGTGTTCCCAGTGGATGGGATCCAAGTACTAACCAGGCCCGGCCTTGTTTAGCTTCTGAGATCTAACGAGATCAGGCCTTGATGAGCAGGTATGGCCTCTTCTTCCACTTTGTATGGATACACTATAGAATGAATCTATAGTGTTGATACTAAAATTTCATACTCAGTTTTGTCTGTAAGGAAATGTTAATACTCTATATTTCAATACCTTATAGTTGATTAAAAAGTCAAAATTCAGAACCTAGTTTTAGTTCCAGCTTTATTGTCAATTAATATTTTGGTAGGTATCTGTACTTTTGACAACCACACTAAGAAATGTACCTATGACTGTGGGCAGTTTACTTTCACCAGTCGATAATAAAGCAGCAGTGCAGTATCTAACCACAACTGTGTAACAGCAGTTTTTTAGCATTTAGAAACATATAGATGGACTAATGCATTATTGAATTTGCTGAAACATTGAGTAGTTGAAAAATATACCTTTCATTAGGACATGATAATTACAACTTCGACGTCAGTATATGAAAGCTGAAACAATATATTTTGAGGTTAAATCTTTGTCATGTGCACATTCTTGTTACAATAGTGGGGAAGTTTCTGATATTTTTTATATAATATGGTAAGATTTGAGCTGTAGAAGGATGAAAAAGTAGCATCCAGGGCTAATTATATGTTAATTCTGCTATTTATTTGTTGTAGCTCAGGCATTTTAATGATATTGTATTTAAAAATGTTAACTTTGATTATTCTGCCTTATTTTTTTATTGAGTCCATGGCTAAAAGTATTTCCAATATTAGCAGTATTATATAACAATATATCATGCTTAAAAATGTTTTATCGTAGCAGCTAACTTTCACTGGATCTGTCTGAAACACAGCATCATGGCAACATATCCTCTCTGACCTAAACCTTTTCTGCATACTGTGAATGAAGCAATAGCAGTACGATTAAATTTCAAAACAATCAGCAATGGGCATCTCATGGAGTCAGCAGCGAATGGCAAGCTCCAGCATGACTTAGTTTCTCTGTTATTCTCGCAAAAGTAATCAACACTTGTTATCAGGGGACTCACAGTTTTAGTGCTCATCCCCAGCTGTACCCTCTGTAATTAGACCACTGCCCCTTCCCTCGGGACACTGTACACGGTAACAGGGGAAAAGGCTCAGGGCTTATTCAGCTATTTGTCTATACCATTCCTGTTACTATATTGGAAATTCGGTTTCTGTTCAAATGTAGTTTTTATAACGGCTGTGGTATAATAGTCTAGTACAAATGAACATTGAATAGTGTCATCTAAGCTAAATAGTCTTGTAACCTATGGACAGTTACAAAGGCTGCCTGTACAAGTCAGTATATAAAATGGGAATTACTTTCACATCTATTCAATTATATCTATCTTTTTATAAAATTATAAACCTTGTAAGGGACATAGAAAAGATTTCCAATATTGTTTCAATATGGGTTTGTACTTTGACCTATGACTCATACATTAACAGTACTACTGCTACTAGGGAACACCTCTTGATACTCACAGTTTTGATAGATTACT